ACTGCACAGCGAGGGTTCCCTCCCGGCCCGGGGACCGTGTCGCCGGGCTTGGCCAGGCAGGCCGGGCTGCCATGTGCGCGGCACGGCCGCTGTCAGTAGGCACGGTCTCTGGTGTCCCCTCCTCGGAGTGACAGTGCCTTGGGCCCGGCTCCCTAGTTGGCCTGCGGCCCAGTGGGTCACCTGCTTGTCCGTTCCGAGCGCACATTTCAAAATGCCCCCACGTTGACATCGTGCTGGTGATGCCGACAGCCGGCTCTCTGTCATGTTTGATGTATTTATTTATTTATTATTCTTTGTGAAGTCGATGGGCACATGCCACGGGTCTGTCCTCAGCACGTTGTGCCAGACACATCCCGTATCGCCAGCTCTGACCACGTACGTGCTCGGGGGCTGGCTTTGTAAGCTGCCTCGGCTCTATTATTTTTTTAAAGATTTTATTTATTTATTTCACAAAGAGAGCTCGAGCACAAGCAGACAGACGGGCAGCCGAGAAGAGCAGCAGATTTTCCACTGAGTGTGGAGCCCGTTGTGGGACTCGATCCCAGGACCTTGGGATCATGCCCTGAGCCGAAGGCAGACAGTTAGCCGACCGAGCCACCCGGGCGCCCCGCGGGTTTGGATTCTCATGCTAGTTCCACTTGTGGGCACAGGTGGCAGGGACCCCTGGGAGCTTTTTGCTTGTTTGCTGCTTGGGTTTTTGTGATTTTTGTTGTTGTCATTTATTAATTTAGTCAGTTGGTTAGCTAAGTTGTGAAATAGTAACTGCTGCTTCATTTTATACTCTCGTAAAAAGGAAAAGAGATAGATTGCAACCCCAAACCCTAGAACTCCAAAGCATGATGCAGATGATTAACAGTAATGGGCTCAATTCGATCTTGAGGCAGGAGGTCCCTGGGACCTCAGAGTCCGAGGTTTTATGCTTCCTTTGGTTTCCAAAGTCCAGAGGAACATGAGTGTAAAGTGTGATAAGCAGCAGATCTGAGGGGTGATCCCCCCCCCACCCCGTGTGGGCTGGATGGCCCCAAGCTCTCTGCAACCTGAGGAAATTTTAAAAACGCATTTGGCAAAGTGTGTATTCGTTTCTTTATCAGAGGTGAACTGGTTAGCGAGCATTGTGATACCCAGTTCTAAATTTGAGATGTTTTTGGTCACCATGAGGACTCAAGGTGCTAAATAAATATACACAAGCCTCATTGATTTCACTAAATATCAGTGCTTCTTGAGAGCTCTTTTGGGTGGCAGAGATGACGAACAAGAAGGGACCGTCCCGTCAAAACCATCAGAGATTTCTGAGAGTTTACATATTGTGTACATATATACCTGTACCAGTAGGCGTATATTTGTACGTGTGTATATACACCTATACTAATAACATATAGGTGTGTATGTGTGCTGATACAGCTATACTGCTGTGAATGTGTGGGTTTATGTGTGTGTGGCTATATACACCCATACTCATGATACACGTGTAGTTGTATACATGTACGTACATATGCTAATAATGTACATAGGTACATAGGTGCATGTGTGTATACCTGTACTGATATGTGTGTAGGTGCATAATGCATCTGCATATTAATATATAGAGATGCATATGTGCACAGCTATACAAAGCATATATACATTCATAGGTGTGCTTGCGTGTGTGTATATATGTATCTATACACCGATTTCACTAATATATCTATTAGTGTGTGTGCACACAGATATACTCATAACAGATACAGGTGTATATCTATGTATTTATATATATGTACCTATATTAAAAACATATACGGGTATGTGTGTCTGTGTGTGTGTATACACACCACCCTATACTAATAGACGTAGGTGTGCAGTATATGTGGGTGTGTATGTGTGTATACTAATAATAATATACATACAGGTGTATGTGTGTACATATATAGATATACATACTATTAACATACATAAGTATATATGTATATATTTGAACGTGTATATCTATATCAAAACTTGTATATGTATATATGTGCGTATATATTTATATACAGAGCCCTATGCTAAGAATATGTATGTAGGTGCATAGTATATATATGTGTGTGTGTGTAGGTGTATGTGTGTACAGGTATATATATGTGTGTGTGTGTGTATATGCATACACAGTAATAACATCTAGGTATATATGTACATATTTGTATGTATACCTATGTTAATAACGTACGTAGGTAAATGTGTATGTATATGTCTGTATGTATATACATATAGATGTATATATACACACAGCCCTAACTAATAATATATTTGCAGGCGCATAGTGTATATATATATATATGTGTGTGTGTGTGTATGTGTGTGTGTGTGTGTGCGCACGCGCGCATATAGGTATATATATGTGTGTGTGTATATATACATACAGAGTAATAACATACAGGCATATATGTACTTATTTGTATGTACACCTATGTTTATAACATATGTAGGTAAATGTGTATATATATGTCTGTATGTATTTACATATAGATGTATATAACACAGAGCCCTAATAATAAATATGTAGGTGCATAGTATATATATAGATAGATGTATATATACACACAGCCCTATACTAATAATATATACGTAGGTGCATACTATATATATGAGTGTGTGTATAGGTGTATGTCTGTACAGGTATATGTATATATGTGTGTGTTTATATATATATATATACACAGTATTAACATATAGATATATATGTACATATTTGTATGTACACCTGTGTTAATAACATACATAGGTAAATGTGTATGTATATGTCTGTATGTATATACATATAGATCTATATATACACACAGCCCTACACTGATAATGTATACATAGGTACATAATATATATGTGTGTATGTAATATATGTATATCCATATATGTGTAATATATGGATATACATGTGTCTACATGTACATATACACACTTATACTAATAACACATACAGGTGTCTATGTATGTATTTGTAGAGATATATACCTTTATCAAAAACATATGGGTGTAAAAAATAACATGGGTGTGCGTGTATATGTATATATACTAATGATCTATGTATGTACATGTATATATACACGCATAGTAATACATATATAGGTGTATATGTTTATGTTTTTCTGTGTAATCCTATATTAATATATATCAGTAAATGTGTATGTATATGTGCTATATATATTAAAAAAAAAAGAAATGCACTACGTTATCTTGAAGTTAAAATTAGTGTTTTTGCCACCTATTTGGCAGTCTTCAAAGCATTGCAAATTATTGAGGGTCATTGCTTAGGTAGTCCAGGTGACTGCTACACTTTTTATTTCCAGGAGGAACATATTATTTGAATTCTTGGAACAAAAAGTATAGCGTACACTTCTTTCCAAAGTGAAATAAAAAATGTAATGCAATGCTATAAAAAATATGTACACACAGGTATATGTGTATATATATATATTATAATATATACATAGGTGCATAGTATATATATGTGTTTATATGGTATATGTGTGTACAGGTATAATATGCATATATATCTATACAGCTATATGCTAATATATACACAGGTGCACGGTATATACGTGTGTGTCTATGGCTATACTAATAATATATGTATAGGCATATGTGTGGACATGCACATATACACACATATACTAATAACATACATAAATGTGTGTGTATGTACAGCTATATGACTAATGTATACAGGTGTATGTCTGTAAAGATGTACACACAGCCCTATACTAATAATATGCATGTAGGTACGTAGTATACACGTGTGTGAGTCTATCTAGGTATATATATAAATATACGTATATAGAGATGCACGTAATCTATATGTAGATATACACATATATCACGTAGGTGTCTATAACGGTACCTAGTCTAGAGCACCTTTTGCACCAACCATGTGCACTGATGCACCCCTGCAGTCCCCGGGGATCCTGGGCGGACCCACGGAAGCTCGGAGTGCTCATGTAGGATTTCATCCACGAACACAGGTGTCCTGAGCTTACGCTACTTGCCAGTCACCATGCTGGTGCCGGCGGCACAGGGCTGTCCGTGACACGCCCCAGCTCGTGGTCTGGTGGGATGAGGAAGCACGTGAGGGCTTCTTGGGGAGTGCACTGGACGCTCTAGTAGAAATTACATTTGGCCACAAATCTGTTCCTCGATTCACTCCATTTGTGACCGCACAGCCTTCAAAAGGGCATTTATTCACTAGTCCCTTTTAGCCGGAAGGGAATTTCTGTGACTTTCCTGGACAAGGGTAAAATCTAAACTGGTTACATAAAACCAAAATGCATCAAGCAAGTGCATTCCTCCGAGATCAGAGGGCTGTCAAGAGCAGGTGCTGGGACGCCTCAACCCCTCTCAGCAGAGCTGGGCATAGCTCCCCCTGCTTTGCACCCTCCCCAGGCTCATGAGCGCTGTCACAAGGGCCACATGTTGGCAGCCACTCACAGGTCTCCAGCAGCCCTGTGTTCCCACCAGGTCCAATGCCAGAGGTCCTGACCCATTCTGAATTGACACCTGCTTTTGAAGTGACCCAAGACTGTCGATTTGGGCCAGTTTCCAAGGCTGGTCCATGTAGCTTCCCAGACTTCAGGGCTGACCCTTGAGCGTTTGTCGCAGACACTTGTTTAGCAGCGGGAGGCGGGCAACACGTGGATCGGAGAGCCCGGCTGGTGTTAGACGGGCACGTGGCGTGGCCGTGAGCCGTGGGCAGGCCCGCAGACGCTGTCACCAGGAGGCAGCCCCAGGGGGTGGGCCTGGCCCGGGGGACACAGTCCCCAAGGGCCCTGAGCTCGTAGCGGTCACTGGGTGGAGAGGGTGCAGCGGGCCTGGCACACAGCCTCCCGTGCACAGCCGGGGCTGGGGCTGCACCGGGCAGGCCGCACTTGCACCTGTGAGGCTGTCGGGGGTGCCGGGCCCATCCAGGCCACGTCGGGGGCGCTTTGCGGCCTCTTGGGCGGCCCACGTGCCCGCGAGGCCCGGCGCTGACTTGCCCTGGGCCCTTCCTCCCACAGAAACGCTGGGACGCCCTTCCTGCTGCTGCTGTCCTACCTTCACGTGCACACGGCCCTGTTCTCGTCCCCGGACTTCGCGGGCCGCAGCCAGCACGGCGCCTACGGGGACGCTGCCGAGGAGCTGGACTGGAGCGTGGGTACGTGTGCGCCGCCCCACCGCGTCCCCTGCCCTGGCACAGCACACGTGCCTCCGGGCTCCCAAGGCTGGGACAGCAGGCCAGGGGGCCCGTGGACACCGAGCAGAACCCCGAGCCCCGCGGGCACCCCGCGATGCCCTTCCCACCTCCCCTGCGCTCAGGCGACAGGTCCACGGGTCAGCGGCCACCTGTCGGGCAGGTGGCCCTCGGGCTGCGGGCACCCGGACGCTGCTTGGGCCTCGGCGCCCCTTCTCCTTCCTCCTGAGCACAGGACTCTCGTCCTGAAAAGCCTGCCGCTTTCTTCACGGGTGCTGGGAGGACGCCCTATTAAAAAAAAAAAAAAAAATTTTAAAAAGGGAAGTGTCCCTCCACCTCGTGGGATCACCATGACCTCGCTGCCTTTGCTTTCTCGGCAGAGCCGGGCAGGGTCTACGCCGTCTCAGGCAGGGGAAGCCGGGGGCCCTGAACTCCGCACTCAGTGCCCGGCCTTTCCGGTGACACCGTCTCTGGTGCGGACGTCGCACAATCCCCATGGACACAACGGGACACAGTTGTCCAAATGCCACCAGTCAGCAGGCTGCTTAGGATTTCCATGTGTTTGTTTTCTTTCCCCCGTTTTTCCCTCCTTCTCTCATTGTTCCTCCTTCTCGTTGTGCACGGAACGGACAGCTCTGGACTCTTCCATGTAGATGTTTTCAAACTCCCTGCACATTGCCGAGGACTACAGCTTTGCGTTTCTTGGTGGTTTGTTTTTTTTTGTTTGTTTGTTTGTTTGTTTTTTTGATCGGTTTGTTTTCAGCAGCACATTGAACGTGATGTCGGTTGCCTCCTGTGCCGATCACGAGAACAAGTCTTGGTTTGTTTTGTTTTGTTAAATCTCGCAAGGAGCACGGTCTTGAGAAACAACAGGACCGGACCCTTCTAGCTGTCCATCTACAGTCTCTGGGAATTTGAGAGATGTCTTAACTTTCTAGGGTTCAGCTGTCTCCTCTTTACACGAGGAAACCAGAGCACGTCCTCAGTTGCTTCTCTGAGGGTCCGTGATCGTACGAAGTAACAGAGAGTCCGTAGGATGTGTGCTGAGACCCCGAAGCGGAACACTGCGCTTTGTGAGATTTACGAGACAAATCCATTGTCCTAGGGCTTTTCCACACGGCGGGGCAAGCGTCACTTTTTTCATTGCTGCTTCTTTAAATGTTGCAGGTGAATCAGCTTGCACTTTGCACACGTTAGCCGTGTGAATCAGACTATTTCATCTCTTTGACGCCCGTTACGTTGCGAGGAACGGGTTTCTTACGCGACTCTAAGCCGTGTGTGGGCTAGCAGGTGAGCTCATGCTGCTTACCATCAAGTGGACTGATTTTTATCTCATTATAAGGCCACATCTGCATCCCCTGACTCATTAGGAAGTGTGACTTTCAGTGTTTCCCTAGTACCGCTGCCGTCTAGGATGAAACAGAGAGTGTTTCGGTTTCTGAGATCTGCATGAGAACCTGACGTCACATTTGTAGATGACCCTGTTCTTTTCTTTTTGCCAAAAAGAGAAATCGTCCCGCTATGCCGTGACGTTGATTACTCGGGATGTCTTAGCCGTTTTACCAATCCAGTCCACCCGAGTGTTTCGAGGAGCATTCCATCGTCCCAAGAAAAAAGCCTTTCCTTTTGATGCTGACGGGGCTGCAGCACTCTGAATAATTATGGAGTAAAATAAAATGGGAATATTTGCCTAAAGATGATGCATCCTGCATGAGAGCTCGATGAGAGAAGACCAGAAAGCTGCAGAGGGTGCACATCTGTCATGCAGAGCATTTTCTTCCAACATTTTTGGGTGCAGCCTAGCTGCATGGAGCCTCACCTTCTCCACTGCAGGGTTCTTTATACCTGGAAAGGCACATACACAACAAAAGCACCTTTATTACTTAATTACGCTGCATGGCGACTTGCACGCCGCCTCACCGTGTTTATTGCCTTATTGTTAGCTGTGTGACGGTGCCGTGCTGCATGGTTATAGTCAGCGATGCACGTGAGCTCACAGATGCCCTGTGAGGACCACAGAAGGGGCCCTGCCGAGATACCCGATGGCTGGCTCACAGCCTGACCCTAGAACCCCTCTAAGTAACCCCAGGGGTGGCTGGCCTTCTGTAATCATCTCAGCTACGGCCTGCTCTGGGTGTGCTCTACACCCAGCCCTGGACTTGGCCCGCGTGCCCTCCTTTGTGCCATGGGCCGTCTGTGCACCACGAGGTAGGGTCATCATCCCCATTCTGCAGGTAAGGCAGGTGAGGGTTGGTGGAGACGAATACAGCTGCGTCAGCTGTATTAATTACAGAATTAATATGACAGATGAGCAGGAACCGGAATCCAGCAGAGCATGAAGTCCCTTGCACCTGGTTCCACTGCCTTCCCTGTAATGAGAAAGGCCGCCTCATAAGCACAGTAAATCACAGGGAAAGGGCGCATTCCTTCATTACTCACATTTACTGAATGCTGTGTGCCTAATTTTTTTTCCTTTTTTTTTTAAAAAAAAAAAAAGATTTTATTTATTTATTCATGAGACCCAGAGAGAGGCAGAGACACAGGCAGAGGGAGGAGCAGACTCCATGCTGGGAGCCTGATGCGGGACTCGATCCCGGGTCTCCAGGATCACGCCCTGGGCGAAAGGCGGTGCTAAACCACTCAGCCAGCTGGGCTGCCCTTTTTGTTTCTTTCTTAGAGGGAGAGTGTAATAATGATAAGTCCCTTGACATAAGGGAAGTTAAAAGCCACTGAGGGATTTAACATTCCTCCAGGAGATCTTAAAATAACACAGAGCGGAAACTCTGGATGAGTTTCCCAACAAAGATGTGGATAAATTGCTTGAGAGTTTGGAGAGCAGAAGGGTAGGTGTATGGGGCCAGACCATCATCTCATTTCAGCAGGATACCCCCACAGTCGAATCCTGTGGGCCATCAGGGCACCGTCGCAAAGCACAGTTTTCAATCCCAAGTAAGTCTGAAGCCGCAGAGCTTCGGGGAGGAACAAATGGGCAAAATCACAGTGTGTTCACATGTGCGCCGAGTATCTTGGGGCTGTGCCATTGTAGCTGTTTCTCTTCCCCCAGAAATGGAGTGATATTTACTGGAGAATTGTGAAGGGGAACGGGGCCTAGGGAGCCAGTAGAGGGACAGAGGTGGTTCCCGCACTGCTTTCTTACCTGTGGCTTGTACCGTTCCAGACGACACCTCCAGTCTGTCGGGTGGGATTTGTTTGCATGCACTCAGCATTTATTTAGAGCCCTGTGCTATTAATAGAGGTACAAGACGGAATCATAAATCAGCACTGGTTCAAGTTTCAACTAGCAAATTCTATATCCTACAAAGAGAAATGCACGTTGAGAGCAATGAGGTGAACACTAATATAATCCTCTGCCTTCTGGTCAAACCTTTCAATTAAAAAAAAAAAAAATCCGTGCCACTTCAAGGGTTGGGATCCTGTGGCTTAGACGGGACTTTTTTTTTTCTTTTGAACAAAAACCGTGAGCCTTTTTCTTTAGTAGAAGAATTACCAACCATCCTGGTGGCATGGAGAAGTCTTCAGGAGTCACCTAGTTGCCGGGTCTCTGTGATGTGGTTCCCCTAGTGGCTGTGTCTGATACAGTGATCCTCAGTTTCCCCCTGCCTTGGCCTCTGTGGGGCTGAGCACTGCCACCTTCTGTGGGTGCAGGGATGAAACACACAGCCAGCCGGAAGGACAAATATCAGACGGGTTCATGCAAGACAAGGTGGGGGTATGGTACAGAGTGAATTCCTCTCTTCCGTTCCTGGTGTGTAGTTAAGCACGTGGCATCCAGTATCGATGGCCACGCATCAAACCCATCGTCAGGAATGGAGGATACATTGCAAGATCTCATTTAGTGGATCAGGAAAGGGACAAGAACCTGAAGTCACGCAGTGAGGGCCCTTGGATGTCAGTCAACGCCCCCTCAAACCTATGAAAGGATCCTAACCAGGGTTTGGCTTATTGGGCATGAGTCTAATGGATTATCCGTTTTAAAAGGGACTCTTTCTCAGAGACTTGTGAGACTCTGAAATGCAGTGTGTAATGGATAACCCCTCACGTAGTAGGTCCGTTTGGCCGGGCCATAGTGCTCTGGTGGGGTTCACATAAAAGACGTTTGCTTCTAGGATGCTGCAGACCAGGGGCAGAGCAGGGGCTCAATAAGTCATATTTAGAGGCGAGATGATGGGGGTGAGGTGCGGAGAGTTGCGAGGCCCTATCCAAGGTGCTGAAACTGCTAGGGGAGGTGGATAATGGTCCACCTGTGGGATTTTACCTGCGGGTCACACTGCTTTGTGAGGATTTTGAAAGCGGTTGAGTAACTCATGACTCTAGGTTTTCTTGGATTGAAATCTGAGGTAAAAGTTCAGAAATGGGGACACCTGGGTGGCTCAGTGGTTGGGCGCCTGCTTTCGGCTCAGGTCGTGATTCCAGGATCCGGGATCGAGTCCCGCATCGGGCTCCCGGTGAGAAGCCTGCTTCTCCCTCTGCCTGTGTCTCTGCCTCTCTCTCTCTCACTCTGTGTCTCTCATGAATAAATAAATAAAACTTTACAAAAAAAAGTTCAGAAGTGAGGTTCCATGCTTCTACTTCTCATCCACTGGCATCACAGGGTCTAAAAAAAAAAATAATGACAATTTTCTCTTTGTGATTCTTTTGTTGTCTAAGGAATGTAATCTGGGCCATAAGGCTGCGTATTTCCTCTGGGATTCAATACATCAAGTTTTCTATCTTGAATTTTTAAATGCTCCTTTTCTTGATAAATGGGGCCTCCTCTAAAGCGTGAAAATAACATGTTCGCTTCTGATGCATACTGAAAATGGAATGGCCAGATAGAACATTCGAGGGAAGGGCAAAATAGAAACAGTCCCCAAAAGGAAAGCAAAAGAACCCCTGGGCTGAGAAGAGGAGAAGTGGGGGTATCAGAATTCAGGGGTAAAGAGCACTTCAAAATGCTCTTGGAA